TTCAGAATCAGGAGGCACAGTCAAGCCAAGCTCCAGCTGTGGCTCTTGGGTCTGCAGATTCTTCAAAGGTTTTTCTATTTTTTAGGAGACTGCCTGACATTGTTCTTAAGTTTGTGGTATATTCATTAAAAAAAAGATACTTTGGAAATAATGATATTGATAGATCAAGCTTCTGATGTATCTTCTGTCCCTTCCCTTTCTTTTCTAATTGGATTCCTCTCAATCAAGGAAACCACGATGTTCATTTGAAGGAACACCCACTCAGACTTTTAATGGGTATAGAAATATGAAATTCTTTGTGTGTTTTCAACTGCACATAGTCTATATTTATTTTTTTTTACTTAATGATATAGATTTAGGAGATATTTTCATAACAAAATATATAACTTCTTTCCTTTGAAAAACACTGCATTGAGAGTCACGGTGACATGTCGAGTCATTTTTGAACTGATGGACATTTGTGTTGTTTTAAACATTTTTTTTTCTATTCTTATAACTACAAGAACCCTTAAATGTACCATTTTGCATCTGTGCCAAGTGTTTTCCTAGGGTAGATACCTAGACGTGAAATTTCTGGTTTGAAGAATCAGCACATTTAAAATTTTAATAGAAACTGCTTAACTTATCTCTAAAAATGTTGTACCAATTTACACTCCCAGCCACACTATTTGAGGACCTGACTCTGTACACCTGAGCCAATGTTTGCTATTATTGCTATTTTAATATTTTATAAACTGATGAGTTAAAGTGAGATCTTGCTGTTCTTTTAATTTTCCTTTGAACTGGGTTACTAATGAGATTAAAACATTCTTCATTTTTGATGATTTTTTTGAAACTGAATTTTTTAAAATTTAGATTATCTTTTTAACTAGTACTTAAAAACATAAGAATTGCACACAGTAATGCAATAACATAGGATGTTTTGATACTTGTGTATACGTATAATCTACAAATCAGGTTAAGCATACCTATTTCCTCAAATATTTATCATTTCTTTATGGGTGAAAACTTTAGAAATTCTTTCTCCTAGCTTTTTGAATTGTGTGGTATATTGTTGTCATCTATGGTACCTCTGCTGTGCAGTTGCACACAAGAACTTCTTATCCCTGTCTAGCTGGAATTTAGTACATGTGGATCAGTCTCTCCTGATCACTCCATATCACCTACTCTCTCTAGCTTCTAAGAACCACCATTCTGTTCTCAACTCCTTTGAGATCAACTCTTTTAACTCCACATATGAGTGAGATCATGGGTTCTTGTCTTTTTGTGCCTGGCTTATTTCACTTAATCATCTCTGGTTCCACTCATGTTCTGTCACATGAAAGGATTCTATTCTTTTTAATGGATGAATAATATTTCATTGTGTATATGTACCACAATTTCTTTTCCCACTCATCAGTTGATGGGCACGTAAGTTGTTCCCATTTCTTCACTATTGGCTATTGTGAACAGTGCTGCAATGAACATGGGTGTGCACATGTCTCCTCCACATATTGAGTTCATTTTCGTTGGCTCTTTACCATTAAGGAAATGGCTAGTTCAGATGGTAATTCTATATTTTGAAAAATCTCCATGTTGTTTTCCATAATGGCTCCTAACTCACACTCCTTCCAACAGTGTTCCAGAGTCCCTTTTCTCCATCCTTGCCAGCACTTGCTACCTTTTGTCTTGTTGATAACAGTCCTTCTTACTGGGGTGGGGTATTATCTCATGGTGACCCTGATTTGCATTACCTGATGATTAAGTGATGTTAAACTTTTTTTTTTCATATACCTTTTGGTTATTTGGTTTCATTTGAATTTTTAAATTATATTTTCTTTTAGTAAATTAGGACATGTCCCTAATATAAAAGTCAAAGATGCTGAAAAAATATAAGAAAAAGAGAATAATTGCTTCTTGTTCCTCTTCTTTGCTTTTCTCTCCCCAAAAAAGAAACCTTTAAAATTATAATAATTTCTGATGGCCTGTTTTCAAATAATGTTTATATATTTCTGTCTTTGAATTCTTCATTTTTATGCATCATCTAATGACTTTCTGAGGCAAAATCTGCAAGTTTTCTAAACATAGTCCATCCTCCCTTTCTTGCCTAGCAATAATCTTCTATATATTAGGTGATGATAATGTTTCCAGCTGAGGAAGTGTATTCATTGCATCTTTTTTAGATAGGGTGGTTGATGATTTGTAAATGGAAGTTATTAAAGGGTAAAGCCTTTTTTTTTTTTTAACCCCTCAGCATTTCTTGTCGTTGTCTTTTGGCAGTGCTGGGGATTGAACCCAGGATCTTGTGCATGCGAAGCACTCTACCAACTGAGCTATATCCCCAGCCCAAGAGGAAAGCTTTGTAGTAGGAATGAGTCAGTTGGCATATAAGTGAATTTTCATCTTCCCTCTTTTCTTCTTCCTGACTAGAACACGGATATAATGTTTGGAGTTGGAGCAGTCATCGTGTGACCTTGAAACAAACTGGAAGAGTGAATTAGCACACAGATGATGATGGAGTAGGAAAACAACAGGAGTCTGGTCCCAACAGGAGCTTTCCGTGATCTATCTCCAGTTAGTCTCTAGGAGTTTCTTATACCTTGCTAATCATTTTTAAATTTTTTTTTCCATCTGCACTTTGATCTCACATATTATTTTCACATTTAAAGATAGTCCCTAGTTTCATGGAAAATGGAGATTTTGATTGTGTTTTTGTGGATATTTTTGAGAGGCTAAAAGGCTATAAAATGCTTTTAGCGTATGACCTTGAAAGTAGAACCTTGGTATATTTTAGTGTTCTTGTGCATAATGCACATTGCTTTCTTCAAAGGTCAGCGCCTTGCTCACCAATAGCAGTTGTGTATCTGCATGTAAGTATTATCGAACTGCCACCACAATTAAGTATCCTATTTTTCAATGATTGCTGATTTGATAGGCATATTTTCATTTTCTTTTATTACTAGTGAGATCTACACACTTTTAAGAATTACTTTATAAAATATTTCCTGCATTATTATTATTATTATTACTAAATTGAAAATTTACATCTTTTGACCAACATCTCTCCTTATCTCCCTTCATGGTGAGTACCAGTCTACTCTCTGTTTCTCTGACTTTATTTTTAGATCCCACATAAATGTGCAATCTTTTATATATTTCTTTCATGAATTTTATTTTATTTCCTTTGCTCATTATTTTTTAAACTTTCCTATTTATCTTTAATAATTTTATTGGATTTCAGGAGCCATTTATATATTAATGTCATTAGCCTTCCTCTTATTCAATACATTGCAGATATTTCCAGTTTTTCACATGCTTTTTTATTTTGTCTACTTTTAATATTAATGTATGAAAAAATTGCATTTTTATATACTTACATTTATTAGTGTTTCCTTTGTGGTTTCCTTTATTGCTCTTTTGCTTAGAAGATTTTTTTCCCCATTTAGAGAGTTTAAAGATATTTATCTGTATTTTCTTTGAATTGTTTTTACATTTACTTCTTCAAAGTAACTGGGATTTATTTGGATGTGTGTGTATACTAAGGTTTCGTTTGTTTTATAAGTAGTTTAACATTTTGGAAGTATCTTTTATTGGCCAATAAAACCTGCCACATTGCCTTGTAGTGCCCTGTCTGGACTTCCCATTCAGTGTCCCTAGGCGCTGTCTCTTGATTCTTGGGCCAATGTCATGCTTATGAAATTATCATGGCTTTAAAAGTATCTGTCAAGGTTAATAAATACCCCATTATTCTTTTTTTCCAAAACATAGCTATTTCTTGTTCTAGAAGAATTTTATAATCATTTTGGATAATATTAAAAATATCTAAATGAAATTTTGATTTATGTCATATTCATGAGGCATGTATATATTACACCTTCTTGTATGGAATCCTCACACACAGAAAAACTCAGTCTTCACATACAGAAATTGTTTTCTCTAATCCTTTATTTACTTCCAATTTTGTAGTTTCCTTCATATATAATTTTTGTATTCTTTTAGGTAGTTCTTTTGAGTTTTTGTAGGTAGTTGATTTTCTTTTTTTTTTTTTTTGGCTTATTTTTGCAAAGGTAATTTTACTTCCATTATGTCTTTCAAGTGATTATTTCTGGCATATGGGAAATGGGATTTTTTTTCACATTTTTATATGACATATAGTCGCTTACTGAACCCTAATAAATGATAAGTACTTTAAAATTGATTCTTCAGTGTTTTCTGAGATATTCTTTGATTTCACATCTGGCTATCTTTTAGCTTGGTATAATTTATTAACTGCTCCTGAAGTGAATCCCTGAATCTCTTCTATACGCCAAAGTGCAGTGGAAGGTGGTGGACTTTGGTCCCTTTGGCCATTTCTCAGCATATTCCCTCTGAATGGGTAACACTATCCTGCTTGCATTTAAACTGGTAATTTTTTTTTCTCAAATTCATGCTGCAAACTCCTACTCCTTTTTCAATGTCCTTCTCAATAGTTTTCTCAGCTCCCAGTCCTAAACAAAGCAACATCCAGTGCAACAGTAATATATTTTTTTTATGACTCTCACGTATCTCCCATCCTAATCAGGGTACAAAAAATTATGCCTTATCTTTCCATCTTTCATCATCTAGCCAATGTCTGGCACATAAAAGGCCAGACTTATATTGAATTTGGGCTTTTATATTTAGGAAAGATTTTCCAGTTGTCTATTATATGCACATGCAATTTCTTTCCCATATTAAATTATCCTAATTGAAACTCCACATTTTAGACTACTTTTTGTTATTCTTCTCTAGCTTCTTCCGAGATTGATATCTTTTTTAGTGCTGCCCATGGCTTTTCAAATGTTGGCTTCTAAACTATTAATTCTAGCCTATAGGTAGGTAGAAGGAACCAGAAAAAGTTCTTACCATTTTTCTAAACATGAGAGAGATAAAATTCACATATTAGGAAGACCAAAGGAAAAAAATCTAATGAGATGTCTGTCTCTAGCAGGGAGGGCAACTTATCATACCGAAGGGACACATGTGAAATTGAGAGGAACAGGTATTTTATCAAACATTTCTTTAATCAGCAAAGTTTCTAATCAGTTATTCTGACAGTCTTTTGAAATATTGCATTATCACATCTCCAGAGTCTGGTAAGAGAGGAAAAGTTGAAAATCTCTGTTGGCACTATGGATGCATCTAAATAAGACAATATGGATTGCTTCAAAATAAATAAACCAAATAATTAATTAAATCCAATAATAGGTTCCTCTTCACCCAGTGACAAGGAACACAGGGGCTAGATATTGGATCAGGCCTGACATGTGTTCTGGAGTTCAACCAGAGGAAGCTGGCTTGACCTTGATGTTCATGAAGTTTCACTGGTGGAAGAGGTTGCTTGCTGGCCCAGTGGATTGCCTTGGGAGATGGACAGAGGGAGATGGTTCAATGGGTGGCCAAACACATATTTAACTCCAGGAGCTGATTGTAGAATCATGCCTATGGAAGAGCACCCAGGGATAAAACAGAGAATCAAATCTGCAGTCCCACCTAAGGCACTGGCCAGAAACAGCAAGGTGAGGAGCCCAGTGCAGACAAGGCACAATGCAGATAAGGCAGTCCTGTGGCTGGCTAGAGCCCCCC